AAAGGGGACATATTATGCAAAACCAAGTTTTTAATCATTTGATTATGCACATTTGGGACTGTGGAGGGCCTATCAGCAGGCAAAGGGTGAAAAAAAAAAGACTTGTGTTTTTGTGGGCCGCCTCACTCTGAATCCAGGAGATAAATCAGGAGGTTTCAGGAGTGGGTAGTTTCTGACGTCATTAGCTCTAGCTCATTATAATATTCCAGCCTTTCTCCTGCATGTTGCCCCCCCCCTCAGCTTACTCCCCTATCTGTGGCAGACGTCATGGTAGCGTGAGCGTTAGCATGGTAGCGTTAGCATGGTAGCGTTAGCATGGTAGCGTTAGCGTGCCGACGTGGGTGGACTGCCTGTGTCTCATTTGCATTTAAAGAGACAGGCACTCCAAAGCGAGCGCTCTGAACGGGGCTGTTTTGGCAGGGGGACTGAACTGCTATTGGGCTTCATCCTTATGGGATTTTGACCAAAGGGAACTAGTTTAACTTGTTGAAATAGGGTATAATATGTCTCCTTTAACGTGCCCCCGCTCTCTCTCCGTTCTGTCCCCCAGCTGCTGGACTCTTTCCAGGAGAAGGAGCGAGCCAGTATAGCCAAAGCCGTGAAGGGCAAGAGCCTGTGGATCGGCATCAAGAAGCTAGTCATGCTCATCGAAATGGCTGCACAGGTAATAATCCGATCCAGAGGATTTGGAAACTAACCGGAGGTATTAAATGAAACCATCTGGTAGCGAACCAATCGGGGATCCCACTCTGAGCTTTAAACTTTGAGTTCCCGACATTAAAATAAGTGCCGCCCAACATAAGTTAAATTCTCCTTAAAGAGGAGGCAAAATGACTGGTGTTTGGGACGAGAAAAAAGAAAAAGCTGATACATTTTGAAGACTTTGGACAAGGAGAAGGTCCCCGGCGTGTGACTAGAACATCATCTATCTCTATAGGCTTCCATTTTTACCTGAGATAAGGCAGAACTCCATCCAAAAAATAACCCAACTCGTCAAGATTAGAACGAAAAGTGATGTACAAGAAGATCTCCGCTTGAAATGTAGGGCTGAACTGGCAATTATCTGATTTTAGGGGCACAATATTAGGAAAGTAAGAGATCCCTGTTCAGCTCTTTGCTGGATCTGCTCCTTTCTGAAGGACCTCACTTTCAGATCCTCTTCATCTGCTGGATTACAAAGTTTTTTAGGCCCAATTCTTTTTCTTCTGTCCTCCACTGGTCCAGTTTCCTCAGATGTTTTCAGGACTCTGCTCACCAGCTGAGATCTGCCCAGTTTCCAGCCAGCAGCTCTTTGGGAATCCTCAGAAATCCTGTTTCCTGTCTGTCAGACTGGATTTTCTTTGGCCTTTTTCACCTTTCAGCAAAAGAAATGGGAACAAATGTGTGTTTGTGACGGACTGCTGCTAACAAAGAGCCTAAAAATCCACTTTAAATTGCAGCTTTGCTAAGTTGGATACAGAACTGGCTCTTCCCCAGTTTGGGGCCTTTTTTCTGCCTGAATGATTCATCGGTCAGAGTTAAGTGCCATAGCAAATATGAAATAAATTCCTCCGAAAATGAGGCAAAGAGCCTCTCAAACATGACGGATTAC